ACCTCCTAAAATGAGTTCACTTTAGCATCCCACCCAAACCCTAAAATAGAGCAGCATACCCCCCTCAACCCCCCACAGGCATGGAATTCACTCGCAAATGCGTGTGTTGGCTCCGACACAAATAGCTATGTGCGAAATCTGAAAACATATTGGAAATGGAGAGGGCGCAAAGAAACCAGATCTATCTATTTCCGGCCATCTGAGCGTTTCGGACAGTTCGACTTGGATCGTTCGAGCAAAATGCACTCGTTTGTAGATTTGGGTGGGGATTGTGACGATATAGGTGTGGGTTTTTTCCCTGTGGTATTTCTTTCTTGGATTTTTTTTGGGAGGGGGTGGGAGGTTAGCATCCTCTCAGCATCTTGGTTTTTGCTTAGCGCCATCCTATAACTCCCCACCCCTCCCCCCCCTCTCATGCTGCTTGCCATAACCCCGTCCCCGTCTCCAATTTCTACCTTCAAACAAAGGTCCCAGTTGTCCTCCAGTCACCTCCCATTTCACCCTCCTCCCCCTCTTCCCCCTTCCTTCTCCATGCCCCGTCTTCCTCCTCCCATATTTCTCGGTTACGACCCGTGTGCTGTCCTCTACTTGCATGAGATTTATAGGACCTAACAACCGGTTTCTTCGTTTAAGTGTGTGTGAGGTGCCTGTGCAGATGTATGAGCCTTTTATGAGTTTTGGGTGTTCTTTGATCGAGGGTGGGAGTCAACCGGTTAGGCCCAGCGTTTTTCCTGCTTTTTGCACATTCTTTGTCCTTGAAATGCCCATGCTTCCTCCTTAAGCTTTTATGTGCACGCATTTTTCCATGTTTTAGCGCACTTGGTAATTGTGCCGGGCAGCTTTGCAGGCCTACGCACACAGACACACGCACACAGACACATACACATACATATACATACATACATATACACATACAGCATGCATACATACATACATACATACATACATACATACATACATACATACATACATACATACATATATACATACACACGTACATACATGCATACATACATGCATACATACACACATACATGCATACATACATACATACATACATACATACATACACATATGCATGCTAAAAATGTGCATACACTTGAAAAGTTGTGAGCAAATTGGCCGGAACCCTACAGAATCAATATAGTTACTTCATTAGGGCATTTTTAACTGAATTTATGAGGAGAGCAGTCTTGGAGATACGTATAACTCCATGCAGAACGAGGAGCTTGTGTCGTGATGAGGGGTGTACGCATAGCTTTTGCTTGTGTGTCGGCTTTCGTACAGCCGCGCACGCCTATCGATTTCAGCAAATTTCATTATTCAGCATAGAATTTGCCCGGAATTTTGTAAATGGTATTCCTCTTTACAGCCATCTACACCGTACATGAGCACGGTCGTCTCTTTGGAGTGCCGTCCGCCAAGTGTTTGTTATGCGTTTTGTGCTGTGTAACAGCAATACAAAACCCATATTGCCACGGGTTGTCTGTGTGTGTGTCCGCAGCAACTTGTCCGCAACTTTCAACTCGGGAACCACAAAAGCTAGGAATCTGAATAGGGTAACGTTTCCCACCCACGTGTGACCCCACAAATTTAAATTCAGCTTCCCCGTACCCACGGGTAACGTGTACGGCCGAACGTTACCCACCCACGTGTGACCCCGCAAATTTAAATTCAGCTTCCCCGT